CTGCTAGAAGCCTTCAGAACCGTGACTCATTAGCACCTCCACCCTGTATGTCCAAAATAACTCATCATCTTCAGTACCAACTAATCTCTAAAGTGCACACACACATACCTCTCATCTCCTTCCTGTTTTCTCTAGTAATGAAATTCAGCATGTATTGAAAGTTTCCTATGTCTAAAGCAATATGTTAGCCACTATGGAAGCAGAAAGGTATATAAAAATCAATTGCCTATGCTAGGCGCTGGTGGCTTAGTGGTAAGGAGTTGTGCTGCTAACCCAAAGGCATGTGGTTCAAATTCACCACCTGCTCCTTTGGAGATGGACGGGCAGTCTCTTCCAATGCCTGTGAAATTCATCCACTGGAGGGTCTCCTATGGATCTGTTCCAACTCAATGGCACTTTACAATAATAACGACCACCCTATAGGACTAAGTTGGAAGCAGGAGTGGCATCCACTTCCTAAACAACTTGCCTCTGGAAACTCTATGAACTTAGAGAAATGACGATAGTTACAGAACATGGTTCATGTCTTTTGTTCATAGGGTCACTATGAGTCGTGCTCGACTGGATAGCAATCACAACAGCATAGGACTAAGTTAGGCACGCTTCTTCTGCGCTCCACTCCCATGTTCTCCACTCTGACCTTACCTCTATCATTAAACTTGTCACATTATTTTAGCTGATGTCTCTCCTCTCTCTCTAGACTATGAGCTCCATGAGTATGTCTGTCTTGTGTTTCTCTGCCTCACCAATGACCAGGACAGAGGCTGATATCCTAGCCATATTAACTAACCCTTTACTACCCAGACCAATTGACAACAGCTCTTATCTTTTACTAATTCACCATTAGCTGGATACCTGAACTTGGGGGTATCCTCAACTCTTCCTCACAAGTTCAGCGAGTTCTCTTCATACTCTTTCAACAGTATCTACTACATGTGATGTCATCAAATATAATCAATCTGATTCCTGTGTAATCCATCAAGAAAGGTCCATATGTATAGTCATCCTTTGTGTTTTTAATAAAGGTATTTGCAATTAGTAAATCATTGATTGTACAAAATGCTATCATTTTACCTCTAGCCTCATTTCTTTCTGTCACTGAGCCTGTAGTTTCCAAACACTGGTCCTTATTTCCTATTCCCTACTTTTGCATTCCAATCATCAATTATTATTAATGAATTTTAGTTGTATATTCAATTTATTTCCGACTACAAAAGTAGGTAGAAATCTATTTCTTCTTTTTTGGCTTTAGTTGTGAGTGTGTATAATTGAATAATGCTGGTATTAACAGGTCTTCCTTCTTATCCTGTATTCTTCCTAGTATTCTGTCACAACATTGTACTTCTGTATGGAAAGAGTTTAAAGGGAAGGGCCCGAAGACCAGGAGGACAAATCCCCAGGGCAATGCATAAAAGGGTGGCCAGACTGGACCACAAGGAGTCACTGTGAAGAACATCATAATGAGGGCTGCCCAAATGAGAGCATGGGGTCTATTTCCCAAGGAACTCTGGTGATACTGTGCATTAAGCATTGTGCTTCTAATTGAAAGGCCAGAGGTCCAAACTCATCAACTGTCCTATGGGAGAACGATGAGGAAATCTGCTTCTATAACGCATTTCCAGTCTGTCCTATTGAGTCCCTAAGAGCCATATTTGACAGATTGGGATTCCCACACAAGGTGACAAGTTCTGTCCTTCAAGTTTTGCAGATATGGATTCCCGAATCTGAAAACATAATCTAGAAAAATTGTGTAGGCATCCTGAAAACCTGATTGTGTCAATTAAAAGATGTAAAAAAAAAAAAAAAGATGTAGCAAAAGGTGAAAATCATCCAGACCAAGGACATTTCAGGCAGGGAATGTGGAAAAATTTCATGGCTTAGCAGAAATTCATCAATAGCAGGCAACTAAAAATATTAAGTAGTCTACTCATGGATTGAGGCTCAATGTCAAGAAGACAAAGATTCTCACCACTGGACCAATTGGCAGCGTCAGGATGGATGGTGAAGAGATTGAGATTGTTCACAGCTTCAGTTTGCTCGACTCCACAGTCAACACTCTTGGCACCAGCAGTAAGGAAATAAAAAAGCGTATCGTGATGGGAAAGTCTGCTGTTAGGGACCTCTCTAAAGTACTCAGGAGCAACGGGGTCTCTCTGGAGACTAAGGTGCGCCTGATACAGGCCATGGTCTTTGCAATCGCTTGTTATGCATCAGAGAGTTGGACAATGACTAGGGAGGACAGAAGGAGAGTGGATGCTTTTGAGCTGTGGTGCTGGAGAAGGGTACTGAATGTACCATGGACTGCCAGGAAAACAAACAGATTCATCTTGGAGAGGATTAAACCAAGCTACTCCTTGGAGGCAAGGATTCTGGGGCTTCGTCTGACATACTTTGGACATGTCGCCAGGAGGGACGGGTCCTTGGAGAGGGACATCATGCTTAGGAGGGTGGAGGGATGGCGCAGGAGGGGAAGACCCTCTATGAGGTGGACTGATTCGGTGACTGGGGTAATCGGGATGGGTGTGTCAGAGACAGTGCGGTTGGCGCAGGATAGAGCAGGGTTTAGGGCTGTTGTGCATAGGGTCGCTATGAGTCGCAAACGACTCGATGGCACGTAACAACAACAACAACAACTCATAGCTGCAGAGATTGACATTGTTAACAGCTCTAGTTTGCTTGGCTCCACAATCAACACTCTTGGTACCAGCAGCCAGGAAATTAAAAGACGAATTGCACTGGGAAAAGTCTGCTGTCAAGGACCTCGCCAAAGTACTGAAGAGCAACAATGTCAGTCTGGAGACTAATGTGTGCCTGATCCAGGCCATAGTCTTTGCAATTACTTGTTATGCATCAGAGAGTTGGACAATGACTAGGGAGGATAGAAGGAGAATTGATGCCTTTGAGCTGTGGTGCTGGACAAGAGTATTGACTATATCATGGACTGCTAGGAGAACAAACAACTTCATCCTAGAGAGGATGAAACCAGGCTGCTCCTTGGAGGCAAGGATTCTGAAGTGACTCAAAGGCACTTAACAACAACAACAACAACAACTCACATATGTGTTGCTATATGAGGTGTTGGAGAAGAGTAGTGAATACCCCATGGACTGTGAAGAGAACAAAGAAATCTGTCTTAGATAAAGTGTAACTAAGGATGCTCCTTGAAGGCAAGGATAGTCAAACTCTGTCTCTTGACCATATTGTTTGGAGCAGCCAATCCTTAGACAAAAACATGATGCTTGGAAAGGTGGAGAGTCAGCATAAGAGAGGAAGACTCTCAACAAAATGAATTAACAAAGTGACTATAGCAATGGGTTCAAGTGTGTCAGAGAAGATGAGGATGGGATAGTATTAGGACTGCAGAGCCCTTTCCTTCCTCCCCCAGAATGGCCACAGAAAGAATCCAATCACTGGAAGCAACAGCTGTGCTTTTTCTCTCTGTCAATAATGTGCTACTACTCTACCCTTTCCCCCAGAAATAGTTCTCTGAGACCCCAGCCCACTTCCCCATCTTGTAAGAAACATCTGTGAGCATCCCCTTCCCCAAGTTCCTTAGAAGAGAATATAAAAACCCCTCTCTAACTTTTAGTGGGGACTGGTCTTCTGCCTGAGAGCCAGTCTGGCAGTTTCTCCTCGATAAACTGTCTTTCTTGGCCTGAACTGGGTTCTGTCCTTCCTTGGCAACCTTACAGATAGGACACGGCAGGGTTCAAATCCACTGGTCATAGGGTCACTATGAGTCGGTCAACTTGAAAGCACATAACAGTAATAATGCAGCTATAAATTAGTTAGCAAATGCTTCTTAAAATTTCCCCCAACCTCTCTTCTATTCAACACAAACCAACACACAACACAGAAAAACATGTAAACCTAATTTTATCTTCAATCATTTAGGAGAAATCTAATGGTGTTAGTCTCAGGGAGGAGGGAGTGGAGACTTTCTATTGTCTGCTTTTCTGTAATGGCTTCATTCCTTACAGCAAACTTAAGGACATTTTAATTCATTAACTCACTGCCATCTAGTCCAAACTAATGCATAGTTGACCTCCCATTTTCGGTAATAATAATTTGTATGAATAAACTAGATATTAAATTATCACATTTCATTTACTCAATTATTACATTAACATCAGGCATGTAATAAGTTAAATTAATTACGTAAAAAATTCATTATGTAATCACAAATGAAACTAACTCAATTCATTAGCAAATCAAATAAGGAATACGTAATTGAATTTATTAACAAGTTAAATTAAAAAAATGCACTGAAGTGCTAATCACTCAAAGGAACACTTAGATGAATAGTAACACGTGACTAACGTAATGTTTTATCTATACTGTGAACCAATACTCTCATATATCCAAGTTGAGGGGATTTTTTATTAAGTAGGACCTACCTTCTGAAATAACAAAAAGAAAGTAAACTAACAAAACTTTAGGAAGGACAAGATTTCATTCTCTGGAACTTATTACTTATTATTAATGGTATGCTTTAAGTTAAGGGTGATCTTGTTCAGAATCCAAGTGGCTGGACACATCTCAGAGGCATTTAGTTTTAGGTCTGCTTAAAGAGCTTAGAGCTAAAAAAGGAAGTTAGCACATGGCCTATTACTGTATGCTGCTATGGTGATTCTCAGAGTAGTAGGAAGGACTATGTACTGTATTACATAGGCTAGAATTAGGAGACAGAAAGGGACATACTTAAGGTGGAACAGTTGTCTGAGCTTGGAATTCCTTTGCTTTTTTAGTTTGAGGGATGTTTGGGGGTTTTCCCCCCTTGCCTTGATGTAATCTAAATGCAACTTTGTTTCAAAATATCTAATGACAGATTTCCCCCAGCTCTGTTCTAGTCTTATTTTTCACTCACACACACACACACACACACACACACACACGTATAAACAGTTCCTGTTACTCAATTAAAACCACAAGATTTTTAGCAAGAATCCTATGAAAGGCCATGAGTCACATTCAAAAAGACTTTTCAAAGCATCACTTACCACTGGATTTAATTTCTCGGACATAATTACTAGGAAACCAGCCTGTTCTCCCATTCAGTGTGCCTTCCCACCAGCCACCTTCTTCAACTCGAGTGACGTAAATGATGTCTCCTTTACAGACTGACAGTTCATCCTCATTAGTCTGCTTGAAGTTAAATCTTGCCTTTACTACCAACTGGTGACTTCCATTCTCCGTCATCTCCTAGAGAAACAAGACATCATACCAGATTAAGTGCTCACTTAAATGAAGCAGGGGTAGAAATGATAAAACTTAAAGTAAGTAAAGTGGAGTGGCCAGGGATAAAACCCCAGGCCCCTCTCAGCACTGAGTTTTTCGTTTAAGCAGTCCACCCACAAGTCTGGGGGGAAATGAAATGCAAGCTTAAGAGAATGTGTATTTTGAAGAGAGCTTTCACTTCACAGTTTTCATTTCCCTTCCCCTTCCCTGAACAAATATCTAACGATAGCTGTTTACTAGAGCCAGGAAATAAAATGATAAAATATTTCACCTTTCTCTCTACCCAGTGCGTGCAAGCACACACACAGAGAGTCTTATGCCCAAGATTAAGGACTAACCTACACTCACAAATCTTCCTCCTATTACTAAGAACACACTGGGACAAGATTAAGTCACATACAAAAGTCAAATACCCCATAGTTACTGACGAGTTCTTAAGCTCAGAAACTGAGCTTAGCTTTTTGAAAGTCATGGGCTCCTTTAAAAAGCTAGTGACCTGCTCTGGTGGCTTAGTGGCAAGAAGCTGCAACTGCAATCTCAGAGATGCACGGTTCGAATCCACCAGATGCTCTACTGGAGAAGGAGGAACAATCTCCTCCTGTACCTGTCAGATCTGATTTGACGGTACACTCAAAAAATAATGAAATAAAATAATTTTTTTAAAAAAAGCTAATGACCTGGCCAGAAGCTGCACTGCAATCTCAGAGGTACATGGTTCAAATCCACCAGATGCTCTGCTGGAGAAGGAGGAATAATCTCCTCCTGTATCAGTCAGCTCTGATTTGACGGTACACACAAAAATAATGAAATAAAATAAAATTTTTTTTAAAAAAGAACCTTGTTAAAAAAAAAAAGCTAATGACCACAAAGGGTCTTTGTCCCAGACAATGCCCGAAAGGACCTACAATTTCCTATACAGCTGAGTAGCTCCAAGCAGTGTCAGTACCCTGTTCATCAGCTTCTCGGAGGGATCTCTGTGAACTCACTAAGTGAAGCACTATTCATCTAAGCAATTTGGCTTTGCTCATGGCAGAGAAGGTGAGGACGGTGCAGGTCACCATGCATCATCGTCGATGACACCTAACAGCATGGTGGCTTACAGAAAGTGCATGGCTCTTGACAAAGAATAAAAAAGTCTCACCAAAACAGCAGAAGGTGGGATATTTCTTCCCAAGTAAAAATGCCTTACAAGACCAAATGCAAAAAGGGCTGCACAATCCCAATACAGGAGCTCATGACAGGCTAACATTTAAACATCAGATCCAGGAATCCGAGAGAAAATGATGATAACCATCACGATGCTATAGTGATCTCTCATGTGCCAGACACTACTTAATTTTCCTTAGGATGGGGGGAAAACCAAACCAAACAAACCTAGCATCAGATCAGTTGGCACTGCACTGATTTTTTACTCTCAACAACCCTGTGTATATGAGAGTAGAACTGCACACAGGGGTAAACCACAGGGGTTTTAATGACTGATTTTTCAACAGTAGATTGCCAAGCCTTTCTTCCTAGGTGCCTCTGGGTAAATGCAAACCAAACTTTAGGTTGGTAGTTAAGTGTGTTAACCATTTCCACCATCCAGGGACACTTGCGTGAATCCACGGGTGTCACAGATCCCTGAAAAGTGCCATAAAAATCAAAAGCTATTATAAAACTGCTGGAATTTGGGCTTGGTCTGTTTTCCTGCCAGCGGTGGCCGATGTATTTTCTCCCCCAGCCTCCGTCATCCAGCCTCTACAATGTGAAAATACTATGGGCGGAAGTCTTTCATGTGATCCCATAGACTGCGTGTAATAACTAAGCACAAGTTTCCACCCCCAGCGTATAGGGGGAAAGAGATGAAGAGACCTAGAATCACATCATTGCCGAGTAAAGGAGCTGAAGTCATGAGGTCATGCTTTAGCTTCCATTCAAGCTTTACAGCAAAGGGTATGAGGTGCAAAAATATATACCATGAAATTGGAAGAATCTGGTCTGGGAAACAGTGTATTCAAATTTTGTAAATAAACTAGTATAATTAAAAAAAAAAAACCAGTGCTGGAATTGGCACTGTATTTTCGGTTAAATGGCTTGTCCAAGTCTAGTAAAGGGAAGAGCTGGGGCTCTGATCCTTCTGATGTTTTTGATTTGTTCCGAGCAGGCCATCCAGAATCAGGGCTGGGTTTTAAATTAGTTTTCGAATTCATTTTCTCGATGAAGCCCAAAACAAACAGGAGGGCTCTCTGAGCCTACAAAGAGATGCAACTGTGATACTTACGGATCTAATTTTACAGTTTGTAAAACAGGCCAAGGGAACTGGACACTCTACTTACCACTGCCTTGGACTGCCTTTGCAGCCTTGAAGCTCTGCTAGAAACTGCTCCCTGTGGGTTTGTCTGAGAACTATTAGCAGCACCAAGTGAAGAGGCACGTCCACATGGTCTTTCTGAGAGCTGATCTGTGAAAAGAGAAAAAGGAAGCCGCTCAAGCTAGAAAAACCTCCAACATAACACAGTCTTTTAACAGAGATCATGAACATTATCAAAAGCAACTGGGCCAGAGTGCTAACTGCCGTCACTTTGAACACGCCAAGTAGATTTCATTCCACCCTCCCGGTCTGGTGACTAACTTCTTTTCCGGAATCTTACTGGTCATTGCTCTCCAGTAGAATGAAAAACAGCTACAGAACCACATTTTCTCTTAACCCATTTCCTACAACTCTTCCCTCCTGAACCAGTTGCAATCGTCTGCCCTGTTATCCCAGGCAGAACTATATTGAGTACCAAACAGCTGTTTGTGGCTCCTATTACTTTGAAATATTTCAGATTTCTCTCTTTGCTGTTGGGCCGGTTAAGTGAATGGTTTCTTTTCTCATTCACATGTAGCAAATCTGCATTGTATGCAAAATGGAAAATCTCCTCCTAGGGGTCTGGGGGTTGTGTTTTCATGAGTTTAAGGGGAGTGGGGGAGGAAGAATGCTAATGAGAATGCCAGTGTCCCAGAAAACTGTAATCTTGATCCTAGAAAGGTTATTTTTTTTAAAAAAACCAAACTTAAGAATATACTCTTCCTTCAAACATTCAAAAATGTGATTTAAAAACACGATCAGATCAGGCCGAGCTGAGCTGGGTGTTTCAGTATGCAGAAAGCAAGCATAATAAAGCGGGGAATTGGCTCCTTCACAAATTCAAATGAGGGTTTCTCTCCCCTCCATTCATTTTTAAAACATATAAACTGCAAAAGTCTAAAGCCCAAACAGTCCCTAGGCGACACGCTCAGTATCCAAGTAATTTCCTTGATGCTGTGGGTTTTAACTTTCACCTCCTTGTATTTTTATAAATATCTGTGGCTAGGGAAGAAGACTATAAAACTTGCTAGAGGAGTTTGGCAAAGGAACGTATAATTTGCGTGGCATCATGTTAGAATTACACGGCCCTCCCTGCCCAGATCTGGATACTTGTCGTGTGTGTTAAATATAGTTTCTTGAATTAGCTGTGCTTTCTGCTCAAAGCCTTGCAATAGCTCAAAAGCATTTCCCCCCCCCAAAAAAAAAATCAAAAGAACAACCTCAGAGAAGTATTTTTACATTTATTGTTATTATATGCAGCTCTTTTGACTAACAGTTATAATTACTTGATCACTTCCTAAATGCTGCATCTTATTTGGCACTTGATTATATTGTCTGCTCTTGTTTTTGAATTGTTTCACGTGGGGAAGTTGCATCTCCCTAAATAGACTGTCATTTTCTCCCAGGCAGGAGCACAACTTACACTTCCTTTGTAGCACCTGGCAGTGCTGGGGCCACAGCCAGCTGACTTTCTACACACCAGGGGAGCTGAGGGCCCTGCCCCAAGCATCCTTGAGTCCACTGGACGTGACTTTGAATAACATTTCTGTGACTTACTGTGGGGCAACTGTGGTCTTGAGTTTTCCTTATCTGTAATATGGACCTAAAAATAATACCTACCCTCAAGGTTATTGCAAAGACTGAGTGAGGCCACCCGTGGCCCTTACGACAGCCTTGATCCACGAAAAAGGTGCAAAGTATCAAAAAAAAAAATAAAAGTTCTGTCATAAATATATATGTAACAGGAAGCTCTGGTGGACTAATGGGTAAAGAGTTGCGCTGATAACCCAAAGGCAAATGGTTCTAATCCACCAGTTGCTCCATGGGAGAAAGATGGACAATCTTAGCTTGTACAATGTTTGCTGTTGTTGTTGCTGTGTACCGCAGAGTTGGAACCAACCCATAGCTGACCCTCTGGTGGGTTTTTAAAGGCTTTTAATCTCATGGGAGGAGATTGGCCATCCTTCTCCTGCAGAGCAGCTAGTGGATTTGAACTGTGTGCCTTCAGGATTGTAGCACATTTCCTTACCACTAGGCCACCAGAACAATGCTAAAACAGTAAGTCACAACTAAGAATTGGTTCCAACTTGATAGCACATAACAACAGCAAAAATATATTTATATGTAACAATAAGTTTCATGTTTTAATCATTCTTAAGTGCAAAATCCAGTGGCAATAATGACATTCTTCATATTGTGCCAACATCAACAAACACTATTTCCAACAGTTCTTCACCTCAAACAGAAAAGGAGTACCCTTTCAGCAAGAACATCCATTTTCTCCTGCATTTGGCCCCTGCTCTCACTCACAAGGCCGTCGAGTCGGAACCGAACCATAACTGACCCTCCAGCAGGTTTTCAGAAGGCGTACATCACACAGGAGGAGATTCCCCAGCTTTCTCCCTCAAAACAGCTGGTGGATTTGAACTGCGTGCCTTTAGGTAGGCAGTGAAACTCCTTCCTCATGAGGCCAGCAGAGCTCCCTAATAAACGTGTGTCTATTCATTTGCCTATCCTAGATACCTCATATGTGTGGAACTGCACACTCTCCCTTTTGCATCTGGCTTATTTCACTAGGCATGACATTTTCAGAGTTCACCCAGTTGCAGCATGCATCAGAACTGCATTGATCTCAATGGCTGAGAAATGTTCTATGTGCACGTATTTCACATTTTTGTTCATCCACTCAGCTGCTGATAGATGCTTGAGTTATTTCCAGAGGGTTCAATCCATTTCAACCATGATTCCTATCATCCGGCTCTGAGTAAGATGCTATCTATAAAAGATGCTGCAATCTTAAAAGAAGCAGGTTGCTATATGTTTCTCCCACAGACTGGCTAGTGGGTTGGAATCACTAATCTCTCAGGTGAGCTCAACCACTGCACTACTAGGGTTCCCTCCATGGGAAAAGGCCATGTGGAAAACTATGAGGGGGGAAAAAAAAGTCTTGTCGCTAGTGGGGAAGGGGAAGTTGTGACTATATTTTGTAAACTCTATTAAAAGGGGAACTGGACTTTTCCTTTATATTTTTCTGTCCTGTTATAGTCATGTAGTTTAGTCAATAGCTCTGAATGAAACAATTTATTTGTTCTTGTTTTCTTAAGGACATTAGAATGGTATCTGCGGGAAATCCACTGATTTCAAGTTCCAAACGGTGTCAGAGGCCATAATCTTCATAGATGTGAACTGCCACATCTTTCTCGCATGACATTTTTGGTCACAAAAACCCACCCTCAAACCCATTGCTGTTGAGTCCAAATTGCCTCGTAACTGACTGTCCAGTGGCTTTTTAGAGGCTGTATATCACACAGGAGGACACTGCTGATCTTTCTCCCACAGAGCAGCTAGTGGATTCAAACCATCTGCCTTTGAGTTGACAGCACCACTCCTTACCCACTAGGCCACCAGGGCTCCATGACATTTGTGGCAGGCATATTTAAATGTTAAGTCATTTTTTAAAAATTCAAATGTTTGACACTTACTAGAGTTTATGTGCTGGAGAGGGAGAAAATTTGTATCAAATCCTAACAATTCCCTCGTCATGATTGGTTCCTGGGGTGATCAGAAATACATGATTCCAATAATTTTACTCAGACCTTGGAAATCACAAGCCTCTGCTTACCTTCTGTTGCTTTGCTGACAGCTAACAGAGTGCTCAAGACCTTGGCGAAATTGACCCCTGAATAAAGGTCTTCAGGATCAAACACCTATGAGAAAGGAAAATTGAAACTGTAAGTGTTCAACTCGTAGCAACAACCAACAAAAGTATCAAAAGGCCACTTCCTCCAGTGCTCAGGAGAAAAAGTGTAAAAGCAAGACGGGAGCTGCTGTATACCTCTGGGAGAAATGAAAGCAGCAGCTGAGCCGCCTAATGGTATGTGGCGGGCCCTGGGTGAGTCAGAGAGAAACAGTGATGGGAAATGAAAGCTGAGCGGGAGAGCGCGCCCACCAGGAAGCAGTGTGCAGTGCAGGCTCAGAGCCACTCTTTGGGACCTGTTGTTTGCTGTTGGATGCCACTGAGTCAACTACCACTCATAGCAACCGTATGAACAACAGATCTAACCCTTGCCCTACCCAAAATTTCCATCAGGCTCAAGCCCACTGTTACAGTCACCGTGTCAATCCATCTCATTGAGAGTCTTCCTTTTACTGACCCTCCACCTTTCCAAGCACGATGTCTCTGTCCAAGCACTGGTTCCTCGTGGCAAAGAGTCCCAAGTAGGTGACGTGAACTTTCACTATCCTTGCCTCTAAGGGGCAACCTGGTTGCACATCCACCAGGTCAGACTTGTTTGTTCTTTTGGCAGGGCATGGGATATTCAGTACTCTTCTCAAACACCGTAATTTAAAGGCATCGCTTCTTCTTTGCTCACCCTTACTCATTGTCCAACTTTCAGATGCATACCTACCAAGCAATTTTAAAAACTGGGACTTGGATCAGGCCCACCTTAGTCTTTAAAATGACATTCTTGCTCTTCAAAACTTTGGAGAGGTCCTAAGCAGCAAATTTTCCCAATGCAACCTGTCTTTTGATTTCTTTTTTTTTTAATTTCTACTAGTTTATTTACAAAATTTGAATACAAATTCAAACAAATTCTTTCCATTTCCCTCGCCCCACCGCACCCAGTTTTTTGATTTCTTGACCGCTGGAACCAACGATGTTGATGGTGGATCCAAGCAAGAGAAATTACTGACAATTTCAATATTTTCTCCACCTAGTATGATGCTGCCTATTGGTCCAGCGGTGATGATTTGTTTTCTTGATGTTGAGATGTAATCCACATTGACAGCTGTTCTCTTCGATCTTCTTCAGTAAGTGCTCCAAGTCCTCTTCATTTTCTGCAATCAGGGTTGAGTCACCTGCATAATACAGGCTGTTATTCACAGTCCAGTTACAGGAAACTCAGGTGTCTGGGTTTCAGTGATTGCCCAGCATTTGCCCCCACCCCCACCCC